CGTCTTTCTGCCCTGCCACCCACATGATGGTCTCCCATATTTTCTCAGGGTTCCTAACTATACCTTTAAATGAGTATCACTGTTCTGAAAAGACACACTCAAACTGGGACTCTAAGGGGAACTGGAATGGGGGGAGGGGTGTCAAAAAGGAACTTGAGTCTTTTCTGTAATGTTTTCATTCTTGGTAAGAAGAATCTATTCCTGGAATTTAAAATGAATAGATTTAGTATTCAAGGTAGTAGTAAAGGCCAGTGCAGGGAGGCCTGGAATGTTCTGGCCTTGCATTCTCTTTGAGCTCACTTAAGATTTTTCAAGTCAAGCCATGGGACCATCTGTTGCCTGATGAAATCGGGGCAAGGGGAGTTGGAAGACAGGTCCCCACCTGGTGTCCCCATCTGGCTGCATGACCTCAGGAGGGTCCCATCCCCTTTCCGGGCCTCAGTGTCTTCATCTGCCCTACGGGAATCAGGTTTCTGTGTTACTGGGGGGTGTGGGAGGATGAAGTGAGGGCACAGAGGAAGAGCAAATGAATATAAGGATTATTCTCTGGGTCAGGGGAGGAGAAGGAGGGGAGCCCTCCCCTCCACCTGCTAAGCCCACAAGGGCGCAAAGGAAGCAGAGGGAGGGGCTGGGGACCACCCAGGAGAGCAAATAGTCCATCTGTGGGACAGGGGCACGTTGTCAGCAGCTGGGAGGCCCGGCCTGGACTACTCACAGGCCAGAGCCCGTAAGGCAACCACCCAGGCTGCCTGGAGAATTGGGATGTTGAGCGGGCTTCTAGTTCCTCCCAGCCCCAGTGCAGCCACAGTCTTGCTGCCTCTCCAAGCCCCCATCATCACTCTCCCACCCTTAACACCCCACTCCCAGGGCTGTACCCCCCCTTTTAGCCCATCCTAGCCCCACAGCCAAAGAGTGCTTTCACAAAGTAAACTCCATCATGTCCCATACTTCCTCAAAACCTTCCAGTGGCTTCTCACGGATCTATGAACAAAATCCAATCCCCTTACCTTAGCCAACAAGTCCTGGCATGATCTGCCACTCCCACCGCCCACCTCCAGCATAGGGGTTAAGAGCCTGGCGTCAAAGAGAATCTGCCCGGTTTAGAGTTCTGGCTGTTTTCTTCATTCATTCATTCAAAAATGTCTCTTGACCACCTACTGTGCACCAGGCACTGTTCTAGGCATTTGGGATACATCAGTGACAAATGAGATGAAGATTCCTGCTCTTGTGGACCTTCCTTTCTAGCAGAGGGAGATTAACAGTAAATACAAGTAAGTTAATTACATAACACACTGGAAAGTGACAAATGCTATGAAAACAAGGAGAAAAAGTAGAGCAGAGGAAGTTGATCAGAGTACAGGGAGGGGCAGGGTTTACATTTTAAAATGCAGTAGAGTGGTCAGGGTAGGTCTCACCGAGAAGGTGAAATTTAAGCCAAGACTTGTAGCAAGTGAAGGAGGGAGACAAGCGGACTGAGGGCTGAGGGAAGCAGTAAGGAGAGAGGTGGGAAGTGCCTCAGAGAGGCAGGGCAGGGCAGGCAGGTTCTTGTGGGCCCCGGCAAAGAGTTTGGCTTTTACTAAGTAAGATGGGAGTTTTGGGGGTTCTGACCATAGGGAGTGGGGGAGGCAGGACAGGGAAGGAGAGGAAGCCAAGCAGGCCTTGCAGAGGTCATGTGGATGGCAGCTTCAGCCTGATCCCACGGTGGGGACTGTGACGTGTAAGTTATACCTGAGTTATCCACCCACACCTGCACCCGCACCCGCGTCCCAGGCAAGGAAGGTGGGCTTTCATATCTCTGAGATAATGTGTTATAGCTTAGGGGGAAGCTAAGTCACCCCAGGAGGCTCCAGCAGCCTGTAGGCGGTCCTCCCTAAGGAGAGAAGCAAATGCTGGTCACTGAACGCATACCCAAAGATGGCACACAGTAAAAGGGGATCCTAGGGGGATGGGTACAGCATTGCCCTTGTTGGCTCCAGTCCCCAAACACCCAAGTCCCAGCAGCCATTCCCTTTTGGCCTGGGCTTAGGGTGGCTAAAGATTGGGGGCGTGCCCAGTGTGACCAGGCAGGGTTTTTCTGGTTAGGGATCACCCTCCCAGGCCCCCCATCCCCAAACCCCTACCCGAGGCTGCAGAGGGATACATCTCTGCAATATCCTGACCATGTGGCAGTCTAGGCTTCCTTCTGGGATTTGAACTAGTTACCCTTGAGTTAGCTCCGTTCATCTTTGAATACTTTGGATTTTAGAAAGTTCTGCTTCGTGTTGAGTCTACTCCCTCATTCCGTAAACATTGGCTGAGCACCCACTGTGTGCCAGGCACCATTCTAAGTTCTAGAGACACAGCAGCGAACAAGACAGATACGGTTTCCGCCCTCGAGCTTACGGCTGGAGAGGGAGATGATTGGAGAAAAGGATAGCATTTAGGTGCAGAGATCGGGGAAGCTGGGGAAGCTGTGTGGGCCTAGAGGAGACTCATGACCCTCGGGAAGACGTGACACCAAGCTGATAAGTGGAGGTATACCTGGACACAGGTACAAAGGTGCAGGAGAAAATTAATCCAAGCTAATGGAGGAGTGAGTGCAAAGGCCCTGAGACACTCCCCCCCCCCATTGCCTGCTACCCCCACTGCTACTCCCTGGGGCAGTGACCATCCCCCTCTTACTTGGATGGTTGTGGCAGCCTCCTCTTGGGTCTCCCACAGAAGGGCAACGAAGCTGGGATATGCAGTCACTAACTCTTTCCTCTTCTTGGTTAAGGGCCACTCCTGTGGGCCTTAACTCACCAGCATTCCCCAACTCAACTCGCATCTGTGAGCGGAGAAAGCAGGAAGCCACAGGCTTGTGCACCATTGTCTGCAGTTGACCTCCAGGGAGGGCTTAACGGGTTTGGTTGGGGCACCTACAGCTCCCTCTGTAGAACCGTCTGTTTAATGCCTCCTTCCCCTTTCTGACCTCATTTCCTACCTTCCTCCCCTTGCTCATTCTGTTCTATCTACACAGGCCTTGCTAGTCTTTCAATATGCCAAACAAAGCCTCATCTCAGGGCCTTCGAATTTGCTATTCCCTCTGCCTGGAACACTTTTCCCTCAGACATTCACATGGCTTACCCCTCACCTATTCCACATCTCTGCTCCAGTTCAACCTCTTCAGAGAAGCCCTCCCTGACCACCTTGTTGCAAATAGCCCCTCCATCAGTTTTTCTCTACCTTGTCCCGTGCTGTTGTTTTCCGTAACATTTATCTGCCTGACATATGATATATTTACTTGTTCGTGTGTTCATCGTCTGTCTCTCCTGCCGGACTGGAAGCTTTCTGAGGGCAAGAACCATGTCTGGTTTTTGCTCATGGCAGAAGCCCTATAACAGAGTCAGGGAAGTCAATAAATATTTGTGAAATAGATGGTTCTAAACATAGATGAAACATATGACTTCCCTCCCCAATACTTCCAGTGGCCAAGGGTGCTCTCTAGGGGCCAGTCACAGTCAATTTGGAAGCCTACTTCAACCCTTCCCCATCCAGGCCCACCTGGCAGGGGTCAAGGGTCAGCCTGGTCTAGCCCTCTTCGGGCCGCATGTGGAAGAGACCCAGTCCTGGGGTCTAGGCCCCAGGGATGCCTGGTAAGCCCTGTTTCTCTTTTGGCAAAAGTTCCTCCTTCCTTCATAGGACCTGTGCCTGCGTTTCTGAACCAGAAGGTGTTTACACAAAACATCTTGGGTTTGGCGACAAATTCACCCTCAGTGAGGAATCCTTAATGAATCTCCTTCTTTCCTCATGCAGGGCAGCTGAAGGGAAAATTAGCTCTGCCTCTAGCACTTGAAGGAAGCCAAAGGCCAGGCAAAGAGGAAGTGCTACCGGGGCTTCTGGGGCCACAATCTGGGGGAGAGTTTTTTTTTCCCAGGGTCCAGAGACAGCTGTGGTATGGAGACCAGAATGCTTCTAGACACACGTTTACTCCTGACTTTCTGTGTGACAAAGCATTGCTCTTCTCCTGGCCTCAGTCTGCAGCTATGAAATGGGCAGTAATAGCCCATCTGTACAAAAATTGTGAAATTCAAGTAAGGCAAGGGATGTAAAAGGGCTTGGTTACAAGGGATCTAATGGAGAATAAAAAGCTGGAATCAAGGAGGCAGGAAGTCAGAATTCTAGTCTCAGGTCTGCTGTTGATTTTGTAAGATCCTCACCACTCTCTGGGCCTCAGCTTTCTCAGCTGTACAATGAAGGGTTTGGGCATGAAGACCTATAGGGAGCCTTCTTGTTCTGAAGGGCAACCACATTTCTCCTGCATGCCTCTTTTTGGAGGTCCTTCCAAATCCCACGACCCACGCCAATTTGCTTTCTAGCACTTACAGAACTTCTTTTCTGAGCTGGCACTTCATCGCTCACTGCACATGATTTTCCAGCCCCTTCCTTGGGTCTAGGTCAACTACTCTGGACATTGGGCCCAAGAAAGGGGCTCAACGAATACTGGTGAAAGCTGAATTTTAAAAATGATTCCTGCCTCCTTCTGATCCTGCAGAGAGACAATGAGGGGGATTTTTATTCACTCCCATTTTATAAATTGGAAACTGAAGGTGTCAGAGGTTAAATATAAGTCACACTGACACATGGGCCTTCTTGGTGTTCCTTAAACAGGGGAAGAATGATTTGTATTACTCCAAAACACTTATCACTGCTCGCCATAGTATGTAACCACTTGTTTTGTCATGAACTGTCGGTGTTTCCCACTAGGATGAAGTTTCATGAGGACAGGGACTGTGTTTTGTTCACTGCTGCACCCTCAGCACCTAAAACTGCCTGGCACCTAGCAGGTGCTCAAGAAACCGGAAGGGAGGCAGGAGGGGTTAAGAGGCAGCTCTGTGGACTATGCTCTCTGAGCCTGCAGGGGGCGCTCCAGTCCCGCCCCCCAAAGCTAGGCCCCGCCTCTCGCGTCCTGCGGGCGCTCGAGGGTTGGAGCCTGCGCGCCACTGTTCTTTTAATTGCGCGTGCGCGTCGGAAGCTCTGCCCGTGCGCGTGCGCAGCCGAAGCATATCTCGAACGGAGTTTGAGCCGAGTCGCAGCCGATCTGGGTTGAGTCGGAGCTGCTGGGTACCATGCTATCCCCTGAGGCGGAGCGGGTGCTGCGGTACCTGGTGGAGGTGGAAGAACTCGCCGAGGAGGTGCTGGCGGACAAGCGGCAGGTAGGAGGCCCGTCCGCAGCGCTGGGGCCGGGGTTCGGCGGTTGGGGCCTGGCGGCGAGCGCCGTAGGGCCGCGCACAGGGCCCGGAATCCGGCTCCAGCGCGGGTTCCCAGGGGGCTGGTGGGCTTACAGCCGTGACCATAGACGTGGGGCAGCGGTGAGGCAAGGTGGGCCAGACACCTGGCACGGCGCCGCGCTTCACGCATTTTATTAGCACGTGTTAAATGCGCGCCTGCTCCGTGCCAAGGATTCCCTGTCTCCATCCTTCCTCCGCCCCTCGCCGTGCCCTCCGGACCCGAGCCATTACCTCTTTGGGGTTTACCTGAACACCTTTTTCAAAAGGCACTTCCTCCTCAGGCCCCGTCCCACTGACCGTGGGTGCACTGTCTTCGCCAAGGCTCTCGGGAGAAGAGGAAAAGAGGCCTGAGTAATCTTGAGATTGGGCCCGTGGGGACGCTTTGTACACCTGCATAGAAAGTCTGGGTCTTGTGCTAATTTAAGTGCTAAGTGTTTGGAGGGGGTTAATGGGGAGAGGGAGGATGATGTAATTGGATTTAGGCTTTAAAAGGATTCCTCTGGCTGCTGTGTGGAGCACAGAATGTAGGGGGGCAAGGGGCCCGTGAGCGGCCACTGCCAAGGTTCCTGCAAGGGATGGGTTTGGGCCAGGGTGGTGGTGATGGAGCCGAGTGAATGGGTCAGAGGTATATTTTGGAGTTGGATTTAGTAGGCCTTGATGATGCTTACATATGGGAGGTGAGGGAGTAGGAGTGAAGAATGATTCATGACTCCTCATCTCCAGTTAGAATAAGTGGATGATTGGCAGGGTATTTACTGAAAAGTGGAAGACTTGGATAAGTGCCCCTTAAACACTGCATCAGGGTATGCGGGATGATAATAAAGTAGTGATTAAAATGTCTCAGGCACTTACTGGGTGTGTCAGATACTATGCTAGCTCGTTTAGTTCCTGGCTCAGTAACGTGTGAGGTAGGTGCTATTCATACCTCCATTTCTCAGAAGGTGAAATTCCACAGCTCACAGCGGCCAGCGGGATTCAAACCTTGGTGTTGCGGAGGCTCCAGAGTCAGCACTCTCAAGAAACCGTTCTGCCTCCTTACTTCCTTAGCAGCTTCTGTGGTGTTAGTACCATCTCAGTGCCCCCCAGCCCTGCTGTTGCTGTCTGGTATCATTGGGCTTCTTGTGATGCTAGGTCAGAATGAGCTGGAGGAGCTTGTCCAGGGAGAAGTTTCTACTCCCCTGGTGATTCTGAAATGCCCTGAAGCTTGAGCATTAGCACTCCAGTGAATAATAACGAATTACCCGTTTAATCAGCAAACATTTCCCCAGCACCTTCTCTGTGGGGAGAACACCTGCACAGAGCATTGTCTTTAAAGACCTGGAAACTGAATAGGGGAAGAAATACATTTACACATGAGTGTGTTTTAGGCGTGACATTGGAAGAAACCCAGGAATGATGCCTTGTCTCTGTTGGGTTTTAACAGCCCCTGGTCTGTTGGGAGGTGATGGTGTGAGGCAAGAGGGAGCTGAGTTCCCTCCTGCCCCTGTGCTTTGCAGATTGTGGACCTGGACACCAAAAGAAATCAGAACCGGGAGGGCCTACGGGCCCTGCAGAAGGATCTCAGCCTCTCTGGTAAGTCAGGGTTTTGTCACCGCAGCCCTGGAGGTGTGTTGTTTTTCCTTCTAAGGCTTTCAGCTTATTCCTAATAGAGACGAAAAGCTACACATGTGTGACACAGCCTGTGGAGATGAGGGAGAAAATGTTACAGGTCTGACATTGGTCTGCTTGCTGTTCTAACACCCCAAGCAAATTACTGGTCTTTGCTGTTCCTGTTTCCTTTGCCTGGCTCACTCTTTCCTCAGATGGCTGCAGGGCTCATGCCTCGCTTTCTTCAGATCTCTGCCCAAATGTCACATAATCAGTGAGGCCTTGTCAGACCATCTGGTAAAGTAACAAGGTCCTCCCCTTCTCTGGCATCCCCCATCCTCTTACTCTGCTTTATTTTTCTCCAGAGTACTTAGTCTTATCAGGGCCTCACGGATCGTATCTTTGCTTATTTATTCCTTCTCCTCCACTATATCATAAGCCCGATGAGGGCAGAAACTTTGTCTTGTTCTGCTGTGTTTTCAGCATCTAAAACAATGCCTGGCAGAGAGTAAGTGCTCAAAAATATTTGTTGAAAGAGTGACCATTTGCCATTTCAGAAGATGTGATGGTTTGCTTCGGGAGCATGTTTATCAAGATGCCTCACTCTCAAACGAAGGAAATGATTGAGAAAGGTAAGGCCTTCTGGGGATGGGTCAGGGACACGTCTCCCCCTGCCAGCCTTGGTCTTAACCCAGAGCTGAGAGTCAGACTGTGGGCCATTTGATGAGTGGCAGCTCTGTTATAGGGCTCAGACAGATGTGGGTTTTAATCCTTGCTCTGCCACTCTGAGTTATTTCCTCATCTCTGAAGGAGGGGATGCATCTCCAGAGCACATTTGTGAAGTGGGGATAAAACAGACTAGCCAGCATGTGTACTTATCAGTGCTTGTTTATCAGTGAGGAACAAGCTGGGCCACAAATACAGAAAACCCAACAAATGGAGGCTTAGGAAATCTGGTTCTGTTTTTCTCGTCAGTTGTCCAGAGGTGGGGAGTCCAGGACTGGCACGGACGCTCAGCAAGGTCACCTTCACGTATTCTTGGAGCAGTTGTGTCATCATTGCAGGCCAGGCTGCAGGATGGGCAGAGGGCCAGCTTTCTCCATACATGGCCTTGCCTTCTATTTCCAAATAATGCTGTCCTCCTCAGAGACTGCTGACATCTCATAGGCCAGAACTAAGTCACGTGCTGCTGCCCCCCCCATAGCTGCAAGGGAGCCTGGCAGAGTGCGCTTTTATCTTTCACATCACCTGCCATAGAGCCAGTGGAGGTTTGGGGAGAGTGAGCCTCTAGGGTCTGCCACGGCCTAGGCACTCGGCATGTTACTCAAATCTTCATAACCATGATGCTGGAGGCTCTTTGGAGAAGCATCATAAAGGCAAAAAGTCAAGGTGCAGATGGGTCCTTGGCTGGAAAAAGGAAAAATTATGCATGTTTCCTCTTTCCCCACCCTTGAAAATGTGTGTGCCAAGAGGACCAGCAAGGTCGCCTCTGTCCCTGAAGGCAGAATTTCCCTATCCCTGTTGAAATAAAATTTTAGCAAAGGAGACTATATCAGCTTAGAGAAGTTTCCAGCTTCATGTTGAAAAATGCACACTAATGTTATGGTTATAAAATTAAGAGTTGTTATTGCATGTGAGTGATGGGCTGCAGGCCACTCAGGCTGAGCTTTCAGAGGGGGTCACTTGCCTGGGTTCAGGATCTGGTCCTCAGCTGTCTCGGCCCACAAATGTGGTCTTGTCACCATACGCAGAAGGGTTCTGGGACATTATCATCACTGGTTCTCAGGGGTCGATGTGAGCTAGATAAGCTCATAAGAGACCAGGGTTGCTCATTTACCATGAGCACTAAAACCGTTGCCCAGGTGAGAGGGCTTGGCTGCTTGGGGCTTCTTCCTGTCAGAAAGAATGAAAATCTGTGGGGAAAACAGACTAGCCAGCATGTCATCGTGAGCAGGTGGAGTCGGGTCACATTAGGCAGTTGTGTCACCAAGCTTTGTAGCCTCTACTTCCTCATAGTGCAGTTTGTGTTCACGTGTAATCCATCTTGGCAAGATAGTCTTTTCTGTTCACGGTGAATTAGGTTAAGCTTGAGCATCAGGCTTGCCCATTGATTGTTTAGGTCACATATTACCACCGTCATGTTGTTTAAAAACCGCTCACCTTGATGGACTTGGGTTTGTAAGATTCCTTAGCCACACATTTTCCAGCCATCTTGGATGGGCTGGGTCTAAGTTCTTCATTCTGGTCTGATGTTTCAATTTTCTGTAATTTCATTGTGGGAGGGGGACCTAAAGTCCAGATATTACCCACCACCACCACCACTGAGCAGCCCAAGGTACTTTGCATAATGAAAATAGGTCAGTGGACAGGGTGCTCAGTCCTGTCCTGGGCTCACTCAGCCATCTTGGGCAGATCACCTCCCTTCTCTAGCTCTTTAGTTCCTTCCTCAGTTGGTCTCTGAAGTCCCCTTCTTCCTGAATCCCAGGAGCCTTTGCTTTCAAGGAGGCTAGGGAGAAGCTGACGTCCCCAGCTGCCTTCGGGTCACTGTGTCTGTAGTATAACCCCATCCTCCGCCCACCTCATTTTTCAGATCAGGATTACCTGGATAAAGAAATAGAGAAACTCCGGAAACGACTTAAAGTGAAGGTCAACCGCCTCTTTGAAGCCCAAGGTATGGGCCTGGAGGGAACTGGAAACCAGGAGGGGAGAGAACTATCAATGTCAGCATGGACTTTGCAGAGCACGGTTGGGAAGCCCCTGCCAGGTGGGCAGGCGAGGGCCTGGGCAGCACGTGGGCCGTGTAGAGGCTGTGGGCAGGGGCAGCGGTCATAGCCACCCAGAGATGGAATGGGCAAGGAGGGTTGCGGGGTCTTATTCCTGTCACGAGTCTTTTTCCTGCCATAAGAGGAACAGCCTGGGGTATCTCACATGATATCCTAGGGCATGGTATAGGAACCAGGACAGCTCTGACTGAGGGGACGCAGAAGGCCTTCGTCAGATGGTCAAGCTCAGAGCTGAACTTCTGGGTAAACCTAACCACTCCAGATTGGTCACAGCTCTGGCAGAAATCGGTAGGTTTCTGGGCAGCAGAGTCGTGACTCTGCAGGTCCTTGGTGACTCAGGTGCCTCGTCCAGTGCATTGCAGAATTTGAGGCCCTTCCCTGTTAGACCTTAAGGCCAAGTGTTTGGCAGCATGAATGCAGCATAAGCCTCTTTCCTGGGCCTGACTCCAGGGCCAGCAGGAGGTTGGACAACAGGAGGCCCAACTTGCTGATGGATTGTTTTCTCCCCCTAGGCAAACCAGAGTTGAAGGGTTTTAACCTGAACCCCCTCAACCAGGATGAACTTAAAGCTCTCAAGATCATCTTAAAAGGATGAAACTCAAGAACCAAGATGGGGTACCAAAGACAGCTTCTCCTCCCCCCTCCCCCCCCCGACCCAGCAGTCATGGAGGACCCAGGACTCTCCAGCTTTATAACCTGCAAGGACATGATCTACCCTATTAGGAGATAGGCGTGAGGAATCCGAGCATGAGAAGCCTCTGTCTGTGGGGATTGCTGCTCTGTGATGGCAGGAGGGAGCCCTCAGCCTACCATTGTCTGCTGGGTCCAACCACTGGAGCTGGATGGACACAAGACCCATTGATAGGCCCCGGCAGCCACCAGTGGGGGGTGGGGGCTGTGCCTGTGAGGGTGTGAGAATGACCACAGCAGGCACTTTTAACAAGGGCCTGCTGTTCAGATGGGCCCCTGGCAGCCGCGGGGAGCATCATTCCTGCATTCCTTTCAGGAAGAGAGGCATTCTCAAGCAGCATGTAGTGGAATTGGAATAAAGCAGGCAGCTCACAGGTGGTTTCTGAATGCAGGGCAGAATCTTGGTGCTTCGTAGTTCACCGCAGCCTTCTGTGGGGCACACGCCATTCCCCACCGTGGCCTCCACTTTGGCCCTTTTTTCCTGCTTGTCCCCGGGATGGAGCCCAGCGTGGATGCTGCGTCTCAGACTCATGCACCTGCTATTTAGTCAGGAAGGCCTTACAGAGTCCTGTACCACGGATGAGGGAGGGAGCTGCCTCTTCACGTGGCCCTCCGCCACCTCTGAAGGCAGGGCCCGGGCCAGACTGCTCAGAGTTACCGCCCGCCCGCCCTCAGCGGTCTCAGATCCGGGGGTGAATGTGCTGTGAGGACAGCACTGTGTCTTTCATGTTCTTTGAGGGCTTAATAAACGTTTCCTAAATGAATGAACAGTAGCTTCTGTTCTTTACCTCATCTCGGCCTTAATTGAGGGCACGCTGCCTTGAGGACACCACCTGCAAAGGGACAGTGGCTCCTGCTGGGAAATGATAGCAGGACTCGACAGGCAGTAACAATGATGGTGGCCTCACCTGGCCCCCTCGCTCCACTTGGCTCCAGACCATAATGATATGGGAACATAGGCTGGTACGGCCAGATCTTAACATTTTGTGTTGTTTTTTTTCCAAGAGGAGCTAGAAATTTGGATTTTTAAGTTGAATCTTCTGTCTTTTAAATATTGCTAATGCAGAAGTTTTTAAAGACTTGGGTGTTGGCCAAACAGAATACCTTACATAAGGCAAATTTGACCCATACCTATGATTTTGCATCCTCTTGAGTATTTTAAGTAGAAAATAGCGTGCGTTTTCCCCATGATGGCCCTGAAATGGGGAGGTGGAATCGGAAGCTAGGTGTCTGTCCGTAGTAGACTAGTTAAAGGAATCGATAGCTCCAGACAGTGGAATATGGTACACCTGTCATCAAGAAGAAGGAAGCTTCTCGAAGCACTGACTGGGAACAAGTTCCAAGATATAGTAGGTGAGAAAAGCAAGTGGACAGATAGCGTCTAATCCAATCATCTGTGTGCAAACACTGCATGGCTCCCTCCCAAGACAGAAGCTGCAGGGTTGGAGCACAAGGTTCAAAGATAAGGACACATGGCTGCTGTAGTGCCTGGGATGTGGGCCTGGCTCACGACTGGTATCGGAACGTTGCCCCTGCCTGTCTAGCGGGGTGGTGGCTAGGCCAAAGAGCCAATCAGATTGGCTGTCCTGGAAATGAGGAGCCTGTGTCTGGGGCTGTGTGGTCTTACCTCCGTCACAGGGTGCAAGGAAGTCCCCACACTCTGGAGGCAGGACGCCCGGAGTGGCCTGGCTTCTGGCCTTGCCAAGGCTGGCTGGTTCACTTCTGGGGTTTGCCAGTATTTTTCCTTCCAAAACGCTGCTATTTGCAGCCAGAGCTGTCCCGCAGCAGAGAGAGTTGCAATGGGAGCTGCCTGGGTCCCATAGTAGATCCCCTGTGGAGCGGTTCACCCCCAGCCTGCCCTGTGGCAATCTCTCTCAAAGGAAGAGGAGGCTTAGGAATGGGGAATATGGAGAAAACGCAGAACTTTCACCTAACTCCCTATGCCATGTCCTTGCCTGCCAGGCCAAGGCTTTCTGAAAGCTCAGCTCCCAGGAAGACGCAGAGAGGCACTTCCATCACCCAGCTGAGTGCACCTTTGCAGAGACCCTCGCTAAGCAGCTCTGCCTTCCTGATCCTTGCCTTGTCCATCTGAGAAATGGGGATGCTCTGGCCCACTGGTTTTCAGATGGTCAGGGGAGCTCCATGAGTTCCGTGACACACCAGGTCAGGATGTTGAAAGGAGACAAAGATGTATTTAAGGCTCAGCCCTTTCCCAGAGCCCAATAAACACAATCTAATAACTTTGCTTTGCAAGTACACCTTAAGACCAGTTCCCTAGCCCCTGAACCCCTCCTCCTGAAGGATCATTTTAACCTTTGAGACATCAAAGGGTCAGATCGGGGAGGACTTGGCTTCAGCCATCATCAGCATCCCCCGAGCCGGGGCCCAGGGCGCAGTGACTCCAAGCAGGGCCTGTGTTCCTTTATTAGATGCGGTCTCTCTGGGGTAGCAGGGCTTGCCGTAGCTGTCCTCGCTGGGCCTGATCGCCAAGCCAGTCCCGCAAGGTTAAAACACAGTCCCAGGGATTGGCTGTCTCCGGGTACAGAGGTGCCTGGGGTGGGGTGGGGGCATCCAGGGGACCCAGACAAGCGGCAGCAGACAGCGAGCAGGCAGTGGCCCACCCAGCCCGCAAAGCTGCTGCCAGGCCAGAGGGAGGGAGGCAAGTGCTCTGAGGCGCCGCTGTGCTGGGAACGGGTCAGGAGGGGACTGGGGGGGCACCTCCTGGTCGGGTCGCTGTCCCTGCTGCCGGGACTAACTGGAGGCTTTCTTCTGGCTCTGAAGGGAGCGGAATAGCTGCCTCAGCTGGTTGTTCCGGTCATTGACGCAGCCTGGAAGGGAAGCCGAGTGTTGGCTGGGATGGCCTTGGTAGTGGAGGCACGGGGGGTGGGGGGTGGGGGGAGCTGGGAGGGGCGTGCACCCCCGGATGGCCTATGGTTTGCGTCCTGCCTGCACTCCGTGGCCCTTGAGCAGGTCATTGACCCGCCTCCAGCTTAGTTTGCTCATCTGTAAACCAGGATGCCTGCTTTCAGGAGGGAATGTAAGGATCACCAAAAAGTTAACATTCATTTCAGCTTACCCCGCCCCAGGTGCTGAATGTGGATTAATGTGTTGAGCCCTCACAGGAATGATGTGGAGAAGAGAAACTGAGGCTCAGAGAGGTTAAGAAATGTGTTCCAAATCACACCGAAAGTAGCAGAACTGAGACTTGAACCCAGGCTCTGTTGCGCCAGAGGCCAAGCTCTTAACCACTGCTCCACACGACCTTTCCTCTTGGCTGTGCTTGCTGGAAACACATCGCAAGCTAGCATAGTGCCTGGTCCCTAACAGGTTAAGCGTTAGCTTCCTTCCCTTCCCCAACCCCATAGGGCAGGCACAATGGTTGAGAGATCAATTTTCCCCACAAGCGGCCCCTGCGCTCCTGGAAGTGTGTCCTAGGCGGTCCCTGCTTGAAAGGCCAACGCGAGCTTCCGAGATGCCTCCTCTTCCAGCACATTCACGGTGTCACTCACTTCCTGCTTGTCCTCAGCGGGTCTGTGAGGCAGCTCCATGGTCATTAAGTTGTGCCAGGCACATGGATGGCACTCACAGATGCTGGCTGAGTGACTGGCTCGCTGTGGCCACAACTATTCTGTCCTGCAGGCATCTGCCATCTTTCTTAGCAGCCCCGAGCCCCATCCCTGCCTCCTAGGCACTCACTGGCTATCAAGGCTTCACCCAGCTGAGGCCCAGTACATGTGTCCCCAGGGTTTGCCAAAGCTTTGGTTCTTTCACAACTCCCAGATCTTCGTGTCCAATGCGAACGTCTTCTTGGAGTTACCTGCTGATCTTTACACCCAGAAACCCCTCAACATTTCCCTTACTCATTCCGTCCATGCTCTTCCCACCCCAACCAGCTTGTCTTGTACTCACTACCATCCACCCAGACACTCGCCTGGAGACTTGGGAATTATTTGACAGTGGCTGTCAACCTAGGCTGCACTTTAGAGTCAGCTGGGCACTTTTAAGAAGACTAATGGCCAGACCAACTGTATCTTGACCTTCAGCAGGCATTAGTATTTTTGAAAGCTCCTGCAGAATTCCTATAGCAGCCAAGATGGAGAGAACCACTGTTCTGCATCTTTGCCACTCGAACCGGGCCCGGGCACCAGCATTCATATCTGAGGCGGATGATTGGCAAAGATAGCTGCAACAACTCCTTCCGTTCCTCTATGCACAAGTCTCTGCAAGGTGCTTTGGTGCTCCTCCATCTGGAGGTGGGGGCCACTTCCTTGCCCCGTGAATCTGGGGTGGAGCAGCTTTGACGGATGGATTGTGGCAGAATGACACTATACTGTGGGGCTTCTGAGCCTAGGCCTCAAGAGGCTTCCCTAGGACTTCTCTCACCTTCTCGGAACCCTGAGGCTACCATGTGGGGCCGGACTGCTGGAGGACGGGTGGCCGCCTGGAAAGAGAGACCCAGCTGACAGCCAGTATCAACCACCACACGTGTGAACGGGGCTCTTCTAGGCCACTGGGTCTCAGTGAATCTGCCGGGCGCATGCAGCCCTCTGAGCAACCCAGGCAAGACCTGAAGAATCCGCAAATAAGACAGTAGTTGTTCTAAGCCTCTGGGTTTGGGGAGGATTGGTTTGTTATATAACAACTGCTAACTAATAGAGCACCACCTGGGAGCTTGTTAGAAATACAGAATCTTAAGCCCCCACTCCAGACCTACTGAATCATAACCTGCATTTTAACAAGATTTGCAGATGATTACATGCACATCAAAGCTTGAGAGCACTGGATAGTCATCTTCCAACAACATAACTCGGTAGACCCTAGGGAATCGGCTGGAGAAAAGTCTTTCATAAACGCCCTCTCCTCCGCCTTCCTCAAGCAAATTACTTGACATCCCAGGCTTCCTTGCAGCTGTCGTGGCCACGTGACCCAGTTCTTGCCAGTAAGATGTCAGCCCCAGGAGGGTTTCTCTTTTGGAATAGAGTCCAAACTTGAAGGAAAGCCTTGGCCCTCAGGCCTTCCTGCTTCTTCCTGCCTGGGACAAGGACAGTGTCTGGAGCTGGAGCAGCTCTCTTGCAACCATGAGGCAACAAGCTAAGTGTGGCAAAGCGGAAAGAGGAAAGCTCTGGGTCTCTGGGGGCATTTTGCCTCCATTGTGTCAGCCCTGCCTGGCCTACCCCAAGACTTCCTGTGGCTCAAGACACATCACTCGCCCTGTGTAACTATTAGTTGGCTTTTCAGTTGCTTGCAGCCAAACTCAATCCTAAAACATACCAAACTCCAAAAAAGATTTAAAACTTCATAAAAAAAAAATAAGCCACAAATAAAATTTAAAAGCAAATAACAAATTCAGGAAAATATTTACCATAAGTTTGACAGAGGTGTAATATAATCAATGTATTAATATCCAAGGCCTTTATAAATTTAGAAAATAGTCTACTGAAAAATACATAAAGAGTATGGACAGCTTACAAAAGAAGAAACGCAAATTGAAAAATCCAAAACCTCACCAATAATCAATGGAACACATAAAACAAATCAGAACTTTTTTGCCTATCAAGTTGACAAAGTTTTTTTTTTTTCTTTTTTCTTTTAATTCAGAGCAGGCAAATTTGCGTTATCTTTCTAGAAAGCAATTTAGTTGTAATAAGTCCATCCCTCTGACCCAGTAATTCTACTTCTAGGAATCTGTCCTAAAGAAATAGCCAGAAATTTCAGCTGAGCTTTATGTGAGAGGATGTTCATCATGGCATGGCATTATTTATAA